GGGCTTAAGGCTGCAGGGGTTTAGGGGTTAGGGAGGAAAAGTTTAAAGTTTAGGGGTTTAGGGGTTTAGGGTTTAGGATTTAGGGTTGAGGGGGGAAGGGTTTAGGGGCAGTTTAGGGTTAGGGCTGGGGTTTAGGGAGGAAGGGTTCTTTGAGTTCAAGCGCAGGGTGCAGCCCTGGATTATGGGCTCCAGGCTTGCAGTGGATGCCTCAGCGCTTAAGGGGCACTGAGCTGAGATCTACAATTCTCATCTGAGGCCGTCTCAAACCTGGCAAAACTTCAGACTCTAAACCCAAACCCTTGACCCACTCCCTTAAAGCCCCACCCTAAGCCGGTAGCCCTAATGGAACTGCACAAAGGCCAGCGCCGTCTGCCGGGGGATCCTGTTCTTTTCGAGTGTCGGTGGAACTTCATGCCGGAACCTTAATAATTAGAGTAGGGCTCCTTTCAAAGGTTCTTTCTTAAAGGGCTTTATAAGGCTGACTAAGAGGGTTGTAATATAGAACCCGTAATGATCAAAATCGGGATTTGGGCTCCTTTACTAGTATAACTATAAGATGAAACCCTGCGGACTCACATTGGCAACAGTCAAGCTTCTATTTCTTCAGTGGGAGTAGGGCCGGATGCCGTCCTGAAAAAGTCCATTTGCGTCACGGATTTAGGGTTTAGGGTTTAGGGTTGAGTCATAAACCCTAAACCCTAAACCCTAAACCCTAAACCCTAAACCCTAAACCCCTAAACCCCTAAACCCCTAAACCCTAAACCCTACACCCTGAACCTAAAGTCTCACCTGAATCCTGAACCCTAAAGGATGCTATTCGGTTGAGCTGCGGTCGATGACCAGATTCAAGTTCCTTGTAGCGACCTGCGTGCGTCAAGGACGGCCGATTGTTTAGGGTTTAGGGTTTAGGGGTTAGGGGTTAGGGTTTAGGGTTTAGGGTTTCGGGATAAAGAAGAACCTAAAAGGGACCCGAATTCAGAGACCTACCCATATAGAACCCCTATAGATCCCTTTAAGGAACCCGAGCAGGAACCCTAACGGAGAGAACTAGGTTTCGGGCCTAGGATCTTAATGGGGCCACGCTGGTTTAGGCTCTAAACCTTCAACCCTAAACCCTAAACCCTAAACCCTAAACCCTAAACCTCCAGCCTGAACCTGACAGAGGAAGCAGCCGTACGTCATCCTCGACCCTCGACATCCAAACCCCCTAATATAGTGACCTTAACAATTACCAATTCTATCGGTTTAGGGTTTAGGCTTTAGGGTTTAGGGTTCCCTTAGTATAACTATAGTATACTGGGCCCCAAAACGCTATCCTAATTAGGAAGGCCTCTAGATTAACCCTTGTCCTGCAAAGATCGCTGCTTTGGTCGAGTCTTCCACACCGCGATATCGGAGGGAGTCCCGTTCCCTTGTAGGGTTCCATAAATGGATCAATAAGGGTTTCTATAAGGGTACTATAAGGGCTAGGATATATGCAGTTCTCTTAATCCCGTACAGGAAGATTGCCACTACAGTGCAGAATGTCAGACCCTTAAACCCCAAACCCCTAAACCCGCAAACCCTAAACCCGAACCCCTACAGCAAACCTAGTTAAACGCCAGCCGCAAAGCTGACATATGTTGGCGAGTTCGCGGCCTAGGGGCCGAAAAACTGAAGCATGAAAGACGGGTTTCGGGTTTCGTGTTTAGGGTTTAGGGCTTAGGGCCTAAACCGTAACCCCAGATCCCAAAAAACATTGGACCCCTTCATGCCGAAGCCCTGACCCTTGAGTATCTTACCACCTAAACCACTTTAATGTCGCACCTAAACCGAAATGCGATGATCTGTCACTTGGACATTGGGGCTTGGTGACCTCATAGAGCCCCAACTTTAAAGGATCCCTATAGACCCCTTAACAGAGCTCTTAGGCTCCGTCCCCAGTCGGTCTGATATCCCGGCCTTGGTGACCTCATCGTAAATCCGAAACCATAAAGCCTAAATCCTACAGCCTGAACCCTAAATCTTTAAAGGCGCATGGCAGGGCCTTGGTGACCTCATAGAGCCCCCCTAAACCCCTAAAGCAATAAAGCCCCAAAGCCCCGAGGGAAGGATCTCTAGAAACCCCACAGAGATCCGCTCAAGCAGCCCAAAACCCGAAACCCTAGACCGTTAACCCCAAACCCCAAGCCCTACGGTTGATGATATAAAGAGCACCCGCGGCAGGAGCCATCGCAGTTGAGGATGACGCTTGGGCTGTTGCAGTCGTCTTCTTCTCCGCCAAAAACCACTTCAGTCGGGCCTGGTGGGCCTCCGTCATGAGATGCCCCTGGAAGTGGAGCATGCTCATGACGCCCGTGCGGCCAAGCCGGCACTTGTAGTTGCCCTCCTCGTCCATGTCGCAGTACGCCAGCAAGGAGCTGCCCTCCTGCGCCGGCGTCACAAAGCCCGGCTTGGGCTCAACAGGCGCTGGTGTCATTTCTTCGCGGGCTTCGGCAACCACCTGCATGCAACTCTCGTGGGGATTTCTCAAAGCAACCTTAAACCACTAAACCCTTCCAAACCTCTAAACCCAAGCCCCAAACCCTTTGAGTAACCCTAAAGTCCGGAACCCTTGAAAACCACTACACCCTAAACCCGGAACCCTAAACCTCTAAACCATATCCTGGCCTTGGTGACCTCATAGTAAACCCTAAACCCTAAATCCTACATCCTGAATCCTAAACCCTACCCCCTAAACCCCTAAGCCCCTAAACCCCCAAACCTTTAAACCCCCAACGGAACCCTAGACCCTAACCCCTCTTCCCTTAAAGGAGCCCTAAACCCCTTCAGCTGCAAATTCCCTAAACCCTAAACCCTAAATTCCACCCGGCCCGCTTGGGCCGTTCCCACCCATAACTGGGTGCTCAGANNGGCAGCCTTTACACCCGCACTGGGCCAAACAACGGGTGGAGCTTATGGTCGAATACAGCCCCAGCTGTCAAGGGCTCCGCCTCGCCGCTGGCCAGCCTCAGCTGGGCCTAAAATCCACTAGAATCCTTGATTCTCCCCTTGATGGGAACACCCCAAACCCAACGCCAAAACGTTCATGCGGCCGTTTGGTGCTTTTCCAAGGCCCAAAATGGGGCCTCTCAGTCAGGGCCGGCCCCGCACCCCCAAGCGAGCAGATTCCTGCCCTGCCCTGCCCTGTCCCTGCCCTGCCCTGCCCTGCC